TGTTGAGAATGCCATAGACTGAAAGTTTTAGTGAAAATAAAAATAAAGAGGACATTTATAATTACAATCAGAAAAAAAATTGAAATGCTAGGAAAAATAATGAAGAAGGAAGGCTTGGAGAATTTAAAACTCACTGGACATATTCAAGGCAAGAGGAAAGCAACGGTTGATTGATTCATTCATTTTCTATGATTTAGCAACCCTTTTTTGGTTATTGAAAGCCAGAAAATATCTTTAGATTGCAATAATTTTCTTTTTTTGGAGATAATAATGATTCAGTGATACATGTTTTACTAATTAACCCATAACTGTGGGGAGCAATGATGGATTCATACCTTTTCCAAGGTTATTTGCACATATGTGAATATAATAAATCCAACTTGTATTGGAACTCGGCTCTCCGATTAACAAATCTGAGCTATTGTCCATTACACCACCCACACATCCAAGCTTACAGCACCTGATATTCCCAAGCAGTTACCCATCTAAGTACTGACCAGACTTGACGCTGCTTAACTTCAACATGATATGGCTGTAATCTGATTAACAAATCCATGCTATTACCCATTACACTATATACACATCCGAGCCAACAGCATCTGATATTCCCAAGCGGTTACCCATCTAAGTACTGACCAGGCTTGACGCTGCTTAACTTCAACATGATATGGCTGTAATCTGATTAACAAATCCAAGCTATTACCCATTACACTATATACACATCTGAGACAACAGAACGTGATATTCCCAAGCGGTTACCCATCTAAGTACTGACCAGACTTGACGCTGCTTAACTTCAACATGATATGGCCTTAATCTGATTAATAAATCCAAGCTAGTACCCATTACACTATATACACATCCGAGCCAACAGAACGTGATATTCCCAAGTGGTTACCCATCTAAGTACTGACCAAGCTTGACGCTGCTTAACTTCAACATGATATGGCTGTAATCTGATTAAGAAATCCAAGCTATTACTCATTACACTATATACACATCTGAGCCAACAGCACCTGATATTCCCAAGCAGTCACCCATCTAGATACTGACTAGGATTGGCGTTGCTTAACTCCAATGTGATATTACTGTAATCCTGGAAATCAGTGAGTCAGTGATTAGGAGAGATAGAAAATATTTTTAGATTGTAATAATTTTGAGATAATAATGAATAAGTGAATATAATGAACCCAACTGGAATTGGAACTCAGCTCTCTGATTAACAAATCTGAGCTATTGTCCATTACGCCACCTACACATCCAAACTTACAGCACCTGATATTCCCAAATGGTTACTCATCTAGACCAGACATGATTTTGCTTAATTTCAATGTGATATGGTCATAATCTTGGGAATCATTGACTCAGAGATTAGGAGAGATAGAAAACATTTTTAGATTGTAATAATTTTCTTTAAAAAAAAAAAAAAACTTGCTAAGTGCTATAAAGAAGAAGCTGGGGAGAGTCATGAATGCTCATGTTCTGAAGGAACCATATTTTTCTTTACTGCATAGCATTAATATTTCCTATTAATTTTCTTTATTTTCCTTTACGCCAGCCTCTTTAAAAAGAAAAATAAATTGCTTGCCTTTGCATCTGGATATGCACTTCTTTTTGCATGTGCTTGCTGTAATGCAGCATATGTGCAATAATTTGAAACATTCTCTTTTGAAAACTAGACTTTGAAAGCTGAAAACTTTTGCCCACATTAAACATACTTCCCTTCATCTATGTTTAGAATATTGCTGCCGCAGATGGTCTGATGCCCCTGCTATTTATCTTGATAAGATCCAAAGAAGAATCAGCAATATTATTGGTCCTGATCTGGCAGTTTGGATTCAGTCATTTACCCACCACCATAAGGTTGCCTCTCTGTGCCTTTTCTATAAATGCTTTCATGGTAATTGTTTACATGAGCACTTAACTATGGTACCTTGACTTCATGAATTTAAGTGCAGTACTAGACTGGTATCAAGATCTTATCAAGTTACAGTTGATCTGGCTACATGTAGCCATAAGTTCCATGCTAACAGTTTCTTTTCTCACTTGTGGAACTCCCTTCTGGCTCCATGCTTTCAAGTCAACTTTAATTTGCAAAAGTTTAAATGCAGTGTCAATTGCTATCTACTGTCCCACAATTATTCTTTTCTTTTTCCATTTATTTTTATTTCATTTCTCTACACCCTATAACCATATATTAGTCATTTTAATGACTTTACTGCCTTGCATAGGCTTATACTGATCAAAAAAACAAAATAAAAACATAAAAAAATGTTGTATTTGTTTTTTGTCTGGTGTATTTGCATATCTTTCTGTGTTCAGTCTATTTGCATATTCCTTTATGTTACATACCATTTTTTAGCAGAAAATTGTATTAGTCTTGGTGAATACAGTTAGTCTATACATATAGACTAACTGTATTCACCAAGACTAATACAATTTTTATATTAAAATGCTTCTAAGAATAAGTAAAAACCTATTCAGGCAGGTGTTTTCCATGACTTGCACCTCAAATAGCTTGCTTCGACACCGTGTTATTGCTGGGTACATTATAGCAGCAATTCATCATTTATATTGGTAAAATGCATGGCAAAATTGTCTGAAAATATGTTCTGGGAATTTATTTCCAAATTGTATTGTGCCAAATATTAGAGGGAAAGGAAAAGTCACTAGCGGAACAATTATATAGTCAGTGGTCAAATTCTGGCCTTAATGACCATAAAACTGATTCAATAAACCTAACTTCCTAAAATAGTTAATTTCCGAGTGACCAAAATGCAGGGAAATCCTCAGTGTCCATTCTAGTGTCCAGTTATGCTTGATTTTGTTATGAGGGGGTGATTTAATCTTCCAACATGTCACATTGGGAATTAAAAGGAAAAGTGAATTTGGAGTTAGTTATTTTTGTGATGTATTTTTATTGGATGTTGAATAGAGAAATCTTGGGAGGGCCAGAAGTAAGAGAGGGAAAGGAAAGGAAAAGAGAGGGGAGAAAGAAGACAAAAAAACAGAATTGGAAAGAGTGGAAAGCCAGAGAGAGGGGTAAATAGAAAAGTGAAAAAGAAAGAAAAAGGTTACAAGTATGAAAGGAAAAACGTAAAAGTACAAAGACCATGTGAAGAGGTGTAATTGTGATAAAAAAACAAGTGAGTGTAGAAAGAGAACATAAAGAGTGAAAAGAAGAGGATAAATGAGAAAGAGAAGAGAAAAGATGAGGAAATGGTGGGAAAGACAGAATGAAGAGAGGGTGTAAATAATTGAGAGGATAATGAACAAGGGAAGGAAAGGTAAGGAAAAAAAGAAAGAAGGAAGACATTAAAAGAAAAAGAATAAATGAAGGAGAAAGAGAAAAGCAAAGGTGAACAAGAGATAATAAAGAGAGGGTGTAGATAATTGGGAGAATAATGAACAAAGGGAAGGAAAGATAGGAAAAGAGAGAAAGAAGAAGAAAAATAATTAAAAGAAAGAGAATAAATGAAGGAGAAAGAGAAAAAGGAACAAGAGATAATAAAGAGACAAGATAATGAGAGAAAAAACAAGGGAAGGGATAGGAAAAGAGAGAAAAGAAGAAGAAAATAATAAAAAAGAGAGGAATAATGAAAACAAAAGAGGAACAAGAGATAATAAAGAGAGGATGTAGATAATTGAGAGAATAATGAACAAGGGAAGGAAAGATAGGAAAAGAGAGAAAGAAGAAGAAAAATAATTAAAAGAAAGAGAATAAATGAAGGAGAAAGAGAAAAGCAAAGAGGAACAAGAGATAATAAAGAGAGGATGTAGATAATTGAGAGAATAATGAACAATTGAAGGAAAGATAGGAAAAGAGAGAAAGAAGAAGAAAAATAATTAAAAGAAAGAGAATAAATGAAGGAGAAAGAGAAAAGCAAAGAGGAACAAGAGATAATAAAGAGAGGGTGTAGATAATTGGGAGAATAATGAACAATTGAAGGAAAGATAGGAAAAGAGAGAAAGAAGAAGAAAAATAATTAAAAAAAAAAGAGAAAGTGAATAAATTCAGGAGAAATGGGGAAAGCAGTGAGGAGAACAAAAGGGGAGAGAAATCCAGAATAAAGAAAGTATATAAATAATTCAGTGGTTAATGAGCAAAAAAAAAAGCAAGGTTTTGAAAAGAGAGAAAGAAGAAAAAGAGGAAAATAATAAATGAAAGAAAATGTCAATAAAAAAGACAAGAGCAGGTGAGAATAAAGATCATGTAGAGTTAATTAAGAGTATACCTAATAATGAGGGAAAGGAAGGTCTGAAAAGAGATAAAAGTTAAGAAAAAGGAAGACTTAGTAAAAAAAAATTTATAGAAAGACTTTGCAAAGAAACAAAAATTTCAGAACATACAGAAATGATCTTAACATACAGAAAAAGATATGAAGAAAAAAAAAAGAAAGAAAGTATTCAATTTGAAGGCATAAATTATTGTTAAAATATATTTTTAAACTCTTAAATAAAGCTTGATTATAGTTCTAAAAAATTAAAAAGTAACACTGAAGTATTCTACATCGATATAACCATGATTTAAAATTTATAATCAAGTAAAAGTTTGATTTTGAAAGAAATTTATAGCATTTTTCTTTGTAAAATGTCTGTGTTTTTCTCTTCAGTTTCTACCTTGCCTTGTTATTCAGAGATATATTTATATCAATGTTTAACCTTTAAGCGTTGTGAATATAGGAGGTAGGAGTTTACCACAATAGAAAAAAAAATAGGGGAAAAATATTGATGATAAGGAGATTGAGAAAAAAAATTGGAATTATCAGTTGAAGATGGCTACTTATTTATAGCAAGCAATCTTTCAAGATGGCTACCTTTGGTGTGCAGATAGATTCAGAATAAATAAGCATCAATTTATAACTGTTATTTGTCAATAATATTTATACATATGTTCCTGAATCCATTGCACTTGATGATATGTTATTAGCTGCAAAAACAAATACAGTTAGTTTCTTTAATTTGAAAGATTCTAAAATAGCTCAGCACATTCGTAAGGGATGATGAGGATGGTCAGCTTTGGTAGACTTGCATCAAAATGTAAAAAAGAAAAACAGAACTCTTGATTTGCTCAATAGAAATAAAAATCAAATAAAATGGTTGATACGACTACAGTTTACTGGACCCACAGTTCTGGAGGTAAACAAATGACTTTTTATAAAAAAACTGGTCTGGGACTCCTGCTGTATATCTCAAGATTCGCAACAAAATCCAAAGAATCCAGATATGGCATCTTGACTTCAGTCACTTTCTCACCATGATGTGGCTCCCAACTGTCTCTTCTACAAATATTTTCATGGCAATGCTTCTGATGAGCTTTTTTACTTAGTGCCTTGAATGCATAAATTTAAGTAGAGAATTCTCCTGAATTTATTGACTTTCTTTTTCTTTTAATTATTTTTCTTTTTCTTTCTCTCTTTTCCTACCTTTCCCTCCTTTGTTCATTATCCTCTCAATTATCTACACCTTATCATTAGGTATACTCTTGATTATCTCTACATGATCTTTATTCTCACCTGCTCTTGTCTTTTTTATTGACATTCTCTTTCATTTATTATTTTCCTCTTTTTCTTCTTTCTCTCTTTTCAAAACCTTACTTCTTTTTTTTTGCTCATTAACCACTGAATTATTTATATCCTTTCTTTATTTCTCTCCCCTTTTGATCTCCTCAAAGCTTTCCTCTTTCTCCTTCATTTATTCACTTTCTCTTTCTTTTAATTATTTTTCTTCTTCTTTCTCTCTTTTCCTACCTTTATTTCCCTTGTTAATTATTCTCTAAATTTTCTACACCCTCTCTTTATTATTGCTTGTTCCCCTTTGCTTTTCTCTTTCTCCTTCATTTATTCTCTTTCTTTTAATTATTTTTCTTCTTCTTTCTCTCTATTACTAACTTTCCTTCCCTTATTCATTATCCTCTCAATTATCCACAACCTCTCTTCATTAAGTTAAGACTAGCAAATAAGTCTCACTGTTTCACATTTCTTTACTTGCACATCTCACCTGTAGAACACCTTTCCATTTTCTTGCTTCCCTGTCACCTACAATCTTCAAAAAATTAAATGCAATGTCAGTTGCCATTTTCCTCAACTCTGTTCCTTTATTGACCTCGCCTTGTTTTCCGTCACTGGGTCTGTTCTTTTTCTTCACTACCTGTAACCCCCTGCATTCTAGTGGCATTATCACCTTGCTTGGGGTGAAATAATTTTTAAAAAAAAGTATGTTTGGTTGGAGAACATTAAATTACAAGAAAAATAAAACTTAATTTGCTATCATATTGATTCATTTGTTATTTTATGGCTTATTAACCTTTTACAAGAAAAGACATAATATTTTTGGATTGCAAGAATTTGGGGAGATGATAATGATTTACTGATACAATTCCTACTATTTAACCCATAGTTAAGGGGATTAGCACTTAATTGAATGTAATGAACTTGACTGGAATTTAAACTCAGCTCTCTGATTCAAAAATCTGAGCTGCAATTCATTACTCCACGGTGCCTCTTCAGGCCAGAAGAGATGGATTCATACCTTTGCCAAGGGTATTAGCATGTAACTTAATTCAATGAATTCGACTGGAATTCAAACTCGCTTCTCTGATTCCTCAATCCAAGCCACAATTGGTTACTCCACCATACCTCTTCAGGCCAGTTTAATTGGATTCATACCTTTCCCAAGGGTATTAGCACATAAGGGAATGTAATGGATTTGATTGGAATTTGAACTTGCCACTTCGATTCCTCAATCTGAGTTGCTAACCGTTATTCCTGGGTGCCTCTTCAGGCCAGTTTAATTGGATTCATACCTTTTCCAGGGGTATTAGCATGTAAGTGAATTTAATGAACTTGAGTGAATTTTAAACTCAGCTCTCCGATTTCTCAATCCAAGCCACAATTCATTATTTTACCATAATCATAAATTAGAATAATTATAACATATAATAATATGTTAACATTAATATGTTATAATAACATAGCATAATAATATTATTATAATAATAACCTGTAATAAAAGTTATGTGACAGAAGATTTATTCTTAGCATAGTTTTTATTAGAAAAAATAAGAGATTAACAATAATTACTATGAATAAAATATAATAATTATGCAAATATATTGCAATAAAAGTTATTTTTTTTATTTTTACTTTAATGTTCACCCTTTACAAGGCCCAGTGGCCACTTGAGGTAGAGTGTTATCTTAGGAGGCAATTTGTGTGGATAAGAGGGGAAGATAATGGTTAACCCTAGCCTTGAACAGTTTAACATTGTAGTGACTAGGGAAACATCCTGTTGGGAGAATGTACATGAGAGAATCATGGAAGATTGTAGTTTAAAAGCAGTAAAATTGACCTTGCTAACTGAATGATCCTCTGTGGCCCAATCAGTTAAGGAACGTCAGGCTATATGATGGTTCCGTATAGGATATAGGTTTGATTCCTGTCAGAGGACAAATATTTTCTATGAAAATTTCTTGGACATTCAGGCTGGTAAATGTTGTTTAATACTGTTTATTATAAACAGAACATTTACTTAAATATTTGTATCTATAAAAAAAAAATATATAAACATAAAAATGTCTTAAAATAAGTCGAGTGATGTAAATAGTGCAAGTTTCATTAGAAATTGCATTTTTATTCTTATATCATACTAAATCATTAATTTAGTTATCGCAAATAACTCTTGCATGGTAGATAGTTGCCGACACAAATCAAACAAAATAGAGTTCAAATGGTTTGCATCTCAAAATGAAATATTGTCTCTATACATTTTCCGATAGTGTTTTCTGTATCTCATTGACACTTTAGATTGTAACATTTTATGTCAAATATATTTTAACACTTAAAATAAAAAAGCATCACACATCCATTTTACTTCTGCCTTGATAGTAATGCTGATCAGTCTAACAAGTTCAAAATGGCAGCTGATGTCCAAAACAATCACAAGTCTGTCATTAACTGTGGCAAAGATTGCTTTTTTAATTTTAACATCTCCAAAAGTAAACTTCACTCCATTAATCATCTGAGAGACCCGTCTCTGCCTTCCATCATATTATATTATAATTAATAATTATTATTAATAATGATTGTTTTTCTTCTATTTATATTTATAACATTATAAAATTATATTATAACTAATAATGATTATAATATTAATATGATTATTAATAATATTATATAGGAGGCATGGTGGAGTAATGGATGGCGGCTCGGATTGAGGAATTGAGGCTAAGTTAAAATATCATTCAAATCCATTATATTCATTTACATGTTAATACCCTTGAGAAAGGCATGAATCCTCTTCTTCTCCCCCCAGCTATGGGTAAATAGCAGGACAGACCAGGTTCTATAGCCTTGGACGGCACCTGGTCTGCTACAGAAAGAAATAGCAACCTATTGTGGGAAAAAATCTGCCTCATCATTTATGTATTGAAAAATACATGATCGCACAAGTGTCTATCACACATGGCACAGAACTGATTCTAATATCGTTGAGGCATGTAATGATTAGCAACATGGATGAAGGAATTGGAAAGCTATGTTCAAATTCCTGTCAAATCCATTACATTCACTTACATGCTAATAACCTTGGGAAAGATATGAATCCTCTTCTTCTCCCCCCCACTTATGGATAAATAGTAGGACAGACTGGGTCCTATAGCCTTGGATGGCAAGTGGTCTATTTCAGAAAGAAATGGCAACCTAATGCAGGAAAAAAACTGTCTTGTCAGTCAAATATCGAAAAATACATGATCACCTAAGCGTGCATCACATATGGCACATAACTGACTGAAATTATAATAATGATTATTAATAATGATTCTTTTTCTCATACTGAAATTTATATTATAATATTATATTATAATATCATTATTATTATAATTATTATTATTATTATTATTATTATTATGAATGTATTTTCTTCTATATTCTTCATCCCCACTTGTCTTTTCATTCAGTTTCTTCATTTACAGTATATTTCATATTATTCAGTTCCCTTCTTTCTTATTTTCTATTTTGCTCCTAATATTTTCCTCTTCTTCAATTTTTCCTTCAAAATTTTCTTCTTCATCTCTTCTGATTTATTCTCTTCTTTCTTCTTTGTCATTTTATTCTCTCCATTGTCTTTTTTGCTAGATTTTATGTTCTTGCTTTTCTTCTTTTCTCTTTTCATTTTATAAGTGTGTGTTTTTTTTCATTTTTTCTTCCTCTGTCATGTTATACAGTCTACTTTTACTTTCTCTTTCATCCCTATTCTATCATGTTATCCTGTCAACTTTTACTTTCTCTTTCATTGTTATCCTATCATATTATCCTATCTACTTATACTTTCTCTTTCATCCTTGTCCTATCATATTACCACATCTATTTTTACTTCTTTTTTCATCCTCACTTTTTTGTTTTATTAATTTTCTGTCTTTTTTGCTAGATTTTATCTGTTTTTGCTTTTCTTTTCTCTTTTCAATTAATAAGTGTGTGTCTTTTTCCATTCTTTCTTACTCTATCATGTCATACAGTCTACTTTTACTTTCTCTGTCATCACTATTCTTTCATGTTAACCTTTATTTTCTTTTTCATTGTCATCATATCATATTATACTATCTACTTATACTTTCTCTTTCATCCTCATTCTAACATATTATCTCATCTACTTTTACTTTCTCTTTCATTCTTGTCCTATCATATTATCACATCTACTTTTACTTTCTCTTTCATCCTTATTTTTTCATTATTATCCCTGTCTATTTTCACTTCCTCTTTCATCCTTATTCTATCATAGTATCCAATCTATTTTTACTTTTGCTTTCATCATTATTCTAACATTTTATTCAATTTACTTTTACTTTCTCTTTCATTCTCATACTGTCATATTGACCAATCTACTTTAGTGTTTTATAGATATTTAAATTTTTTTAAAAAAAATCTATTTCTTCTGAAGACCAGGAAATAAATATTAGAAGAGTCATTCTTTCCTGTCCATTTCTTTTTCTTTCTCATTTTCCTTTGCATTATAGCTGCCAATTTTATCTATTTTTCAACCTTACAGCTAAGCATCAATCTTTCTTTCTTCTCAGCTAATGAATCTCTCTTATTCCAATTCTTATATTTCTCTGGTTTTCCATCCTTTCTCCATTCCAAGGAATCCTGCTCCTGTTTCCCTTTTAATTCTACCTCCTATTATTTTCTACTTTCACCTCTACTCCTGTCTCTATAGCAACTTGGCCATGACAACCCAAACTATACAGGGTTTGCATGAGAAAGCAATATTCGCAATGCTGTTCTAAATGTTCATCTCAGTGGGATGTCTTTTTGCAATAACATGCACGAGGGACCAGTCACAATGGATATAACTGCCCCCCACCCCCCACAATAACTTTACAAATGCATGCACACATTAAACTGTTCAGAGTGGTTACAGTGGGTGGAATTGAGTTTTATCTATGGAAGGAAGTTATACAAACAAACACAGACAAATATTTCACTGACATACAAGTGGTAAAACAGCTGGATGCACAAATAATATGCAGTGAGAAAAAATATATGGTGTCATATATACACATAGTAACACACACACACACACACACACACACACACACATATATATATATATATATATATATATATATATATATATATATATAAAAGTGAACATTGAAGAAAAAATATATAGTGTCAGATATACAAATAGTAACACACACAAAGATATATATATATATATATATATATATATATATAGAAGGAGATTGAAGTCAACACTCAGAGGTGACAGGCTGTTTCATGCTAGATGCAAATTGTCAGGCCTAATATGCAGTGAGAAAAATATATAGTGTCATATATACAAATAGTAACACACACACACACACACACACACACACATATATATATATATATATATATATATATATATATATAAGTGAACATTGAAGTCAGCACTCAGAGGTGACAGGCTGTTTCATGCTAGACGCAATCGTCAGGCCTGATGATTGCATCTAGCATGAAACAGCCTGTCGCCTCTGAGTGTTGACTTCAGTGTTCACTTTTATATTTATATTTACATATGCTCTATCTCTGATATTTATATATATATGTATATATATATATATATATATACATATGGGTGACTCTCTCTTCATATTTGACATATGTGGGTCAAGCAGATCAGTTCTTAGGAACTGACAGCCAGACACCAGCACATATGATTTGATTATAGTAGTGAAGGCTTTGTGCAGAACCAACCACACTCTTTGAAGGGCCGAATACAGAGACTTCATACACTGCATGCTACAAACAACTCCCGCATGTTTTGAATTCAGAGTTGTCCTTCTCCTAGATGAATTGCCATCCAGTCTGTCCTGTGAATGTAATAATCTCTAAATTATTTAACCAAACCTGTTGTTTGAATATATAATGGCATATATACATATATTGTCATATATATATATATATATATATATATATATATATATATATATATATATAAATATAATATCATATATATATATATATATATATATGTATAGTTTTATATTTATATATAATTTGTCATATATTTCTCAAAGATCAGTGATACAAATCTGAAGAGAATGTGCTACCTCATTGATGATAACTCGCAGATTTGCCATTACCATCTCTTGAGTTGCTGAACCTTCTCATCAGTGGTGAAGGTTGATGGGCATACTCCTCCTTCGATGAATTTTAGCCTCTGACACACCTTTCAAACAGAGAAATTAGATCACTTCCTTTGTTCCTCAATGATGCACACTGCTTCCAGAGGGGCCATGTTTACACTATAACAGCAGCAAGAAAAACTGGCATGTTCAAGCTAAAATCTTCATATATACAATAGTATCAACTATAAGCACAAATGTGCAGGAAGCAGTGTGACAAAGCTAAAGATATGTTATGACAAAAGGGCAGATAATTTTTGACTTACTTTCATATAAGTCTCAGATATTCTGTCTATGCTTGTCTCCCTATCTACTTTAAAACCATACATCTGTTTGTTTAAGACTTTTCTTCACCTGCACCATATTATGATACATAATAGTTTGGCACTGTTTTCTTTATTTCTAACAACATCTGCCTCTATCATTTTTTCTTATTGTTAGTTCATACAAAGCCCAAGAGCCACTCAAAGTAGAGGAAGACTGAGTGAAGTTTTAAGTGATGGGGAAGGGGGAAGTAAGAGTGTATAATAAGGACGAGTAGGATAGATATTGGTTGACCCTGGACATAAAGTATCAAAGATTGTAGTTGTCAAGCATTCTCTCGGGAGTTTGTTACACAAAGTAACAGATCTGGGAAAGAAGTTGTCTGTCAAGGAAACATGAAGGGAATGTGGATGGCTTGCCACCTTGAACATGGCAATACTGGTCTAAGAAATGTTAGTCATCCGAACAACTGCCTTGGTAATAGTGAAAGGTTAACAACATTTTGTCTTTGGGGTAAGCATTGAATGATTAGAATAATTCATCCTCCACAAGGCTGCATAAGTGCTTTGAACTCTGGTGACCCTGGACAGTGAGGACAGGACATTGCCAACCTAGATATGACAACAATATTCCATTCTTGATCTGATCCAATTCTTATAAAGACAGAACATAATAGCAGGAGTCATGTATTTCCTGGGCCAATACAAGGAACCAACCATTCTTTCAGTTCTTTTGTGATGGCACCAATATCCATTCCATTTAAGAACTAAGCTTTAAAGATAGTAAGCATTTGCGGCAAGGAGCTTCTTTGAGCATTTGAACCCTCATCGGGGTTGGTACATAATTAGTTTCTGCTTGGTGATGATGAAATTTTACGAGTTTAGTTTTGGATGAATTGAATGATACTAGTCAGGCTTTTCCCCATTGAGCTGTAAGCATTAGGTCAAACAAGAGATTAGCTGTCTGGAATTGGTCATGAAGATATATTTTTAAAATCATTTCACCCAGGCAAGGCAATAAAGCCACTAAGACACAATGACGGGTGAATATGAGAAAAATAAAACATTAGAGAGAATGATAAAAGAACACGGACTAAGAAGACAGATAATGATTGACACAGCATTTAGATTTTTAAAGATCAAATTTGACTGGAAAGCCAAAAGCTGGAAGAGATTTTTCACAAGTGAGATATGTGAAAGAAGGCGCTGCTAGCACAGAACCTATGATCGCATCTAGCCATTTTAAAAATAAATCAGTGAAAACTTACCACCAATCTAGTACTGCAGTTAAATTCATAAAGTCTAGGTACCATAGTGTAAAATTCAACATGGAACTATTTACAGGCTACATTATGGCAGTGTGAAAGTGACTGAAGCTTTCCACTTCAGGTCAGTGGAAATGTTAACCTGAGAAAGGACAATGAGTTTGTAGAGGCATGTTAAGAGGAATGACCATTGTGGATGTTTGTTTACGGCTGTGTGAATAACATGACCACACAATTTATATTAAACGTAAAATACCACAAAGCATAAAATACAAGAAGGAACAAAATGGTTTTTAAAAACGTAAGATTGTATTTATTTGTGTGTTGGTGTACATGCTTAGAAGTTAAAGATCTTAGACTGGGAATATTTTTATCGTAGCTCACGAAGATGAATTAATTATTAAACTGTAGTTTTAGAAGAATAAAGTTCTTGTTGCATGTTTGGAAATATTCTGGACTAGCAGTAGAGTCCGGCGTTGCCCGGGGATGTAACAGTAAGAGATAGATCAAGTATCGACCATCATAAAGACTGAAAAATAAAATTGACAAAGATTATTGTTTAAGGTTGATGGACAAATTAGTTTTTTGTTTTGTTTTTTTTATGAATTGGTCAAACCCAAACTCAAACAAAAACATTGTTTTTAATCGTTATGAGTCTACCAATTGAATAGAATTTTATTATAAACAATTGTCTTGTAAATGAAATTTTTAAAGCATTCTGAATGTAAAAATAAAGAAAAAAGTGTGCAAGACAATAAGAAACACTACCTGCCAAAAAAAAGTGAAGTTTTGTTGAAATCGGTTGAAAAATATAGGGAATCCGATCCCATATATAAACGAACACACACACACACACACACACACACAACCTGGTTTTTATAATAAGTATAACTCGATATGAGTTGTCCCCCTTTCATTCTGGTGACAGAATCGTGTTTTATCATGTTTTCAAATTGATTTTGTGCAAAAAACAATTGTGTTTTTCCAATTTTTGGTGCTGTCAGAACCACCGCAAGGTAATTTTACGGAGCCCTGTGAAGTTTTGTTGAAATCGGTTGAAAAATGTAGGAAATCCGATCCAATATATAAACGAACAGACACCACACACACAATCTGCATTTTATAATAAGTAAGATGTTTGTAACGTAGGTTGGAAAAGTTCATAAGAGTTTGTATGTATGTGAATGCATGAAATATTATTTAACATCTGACCGCATGGTCGAGACGACAATTCTTAAACGTCACATCTTTGCAGGAAGAAGAGAGAAAAAAGAGAAAGCGGCAAACTTGTGTCTGCTATTTATAGATAATGTAATCACATGACAGGATCAAAAGAACTTGGCGGGAAACTTGATTTAGTCCCGCATTGGAAAAATATATTGTGCATGGGTGGATTGCAACACCCACTTGCGTGTTTATTGACCAATTAGTGAACGAGTTTTGGGGAGACCTAAGAAAGTGTCTGGAATCTGATTCTCCCAAAAGTGCATGAAATCGACTACATGAAATATAGTGATTATAAAATTGTCGCATTGCTGCGATTTATAAATTGTCCATTACACAGTAGTGTTGATTTATTATCCA